CTGATTATGTTCCATCACAAAATTTAGGATATCAAAATAAATCCACTCATAATGCTTGTAATGTTGAAAGACATAGTCGTTTAAAAAAGAGAAAACTGAATAAATGCCTCTAGACTTTTGAATGCACGAATTTCATTGTGGGTTATTTTACTTATTCCAAAAATAAAAAAGTTTAGAATTATATTCATTGTTATGGTAGGGACATCGTCTAAACACAAATTAAAATCACTTGCACTCATTATATGTATAAGGATCTACGCTGTTTAAATTGTTTAACTTTTGTACATACCTGTTTTTCTCTTTGACGGAAAGACATCGTGCATAATCACTTAAATTATCCATACTTTAAAAACAAATCACACACCTTCACTTAAACCCGTCACATTAACCTCAAACGAAAATATTAATTTCCGATTTACCCCTTAAAACACACGGATGTATTCTGGGTGACGAGGAATTCAGACCAAAACAGCGTTCTGTATTTTAATTTTTATTATGTATTTTTAAAGTCAAATCGCCAAAAAAAAACACCCTGATACACAGAAAAGATATGAAAGAAGCTATTCACGTGTTTATTTTCTAGATAAATACCCACACTTTTAAATAAAATGCGAAAATGTTAACATTGTCACTTATGGAGTTTCACGGCGCTTGTCAAACGCAGAGTTCCCGCCACAGCGTGACGTCACGTGTTATTGGCTAATACTGTTTGAATCCAAGTGCCCCTGGTTAATACAGGTTCAGATGGGAGAGGTGTATTTGGTAAACTGTTTTTATAAAACTCTATTCTTGTTGGTGTTTTTAAAAAGATTTTCTTTAACATTGCTAATTATCCAATTGACATCTGGATAATTCAGTCTAATTGTTTCAGACACTTTATGTAACCTATATGCCATACATGTTAAATGTGTTATATTTTCATAAAACACCTTCAAATTAGTACCAGTTTTGATCATGTATGAAGCACCATCTGATACAAACCGTTTAACTTTTTTGTGTTCAGTTCTTTTTGGCCACAATAAAGCTGCAAATTAAAAATTAAATAAATAATAATTTCAGTGCTTAAAATTATCAATAGCACACCCAATGATTGGTTTATTAATCTCGAGATTGTGTTGCTATTAGTTTTATCAAGCTGCTTCAAAGCTAGTAGAAATGGACGGCCAGCTTCTTCAGAAGATAACTTTCCAATTACTAAATGGGCTATGTATCTCCCTAATCTGTCCGTCGTCTCATCGACGCTAGTCCATATATTATTATTGCCAATAGGATTTATAATTTCTTTAATTACCTGTAAATTATAAAATTTATGTTAAAAAGTTTTTAAAGAAAAATTATAGTGCTCACCATATCGTAATCTTTTGGTAAATACTTTTTTCTCAGAGTGCTTCCTGAGGGTAAAACCCTTCCTGTATATTTATGCATAAAATTTTTAAACTCAGGACAACTAACTTTATAACACGGAATATTTCCTGCGGTAAATGCCCTACATAAATCGGTGCAAAATTGCGTAAAATCATTGTCGGAACTAATGTTTAATAAAGTCTGTTTATTGGATTTATTCTCGTTCTTTTTATGTGCATCGCCACTGCAGTGTTGTTCAAAGTGTGATTTTTTTTCGCACTTAAACTAGGAAACAAAAATGTGAACATAATTCAAGCTTCATTATTTTAAATGTTTACTTACAACTTTTCCACACACTTTGCAGAATAACTCATTGTCTTTGGTCGTAGAAGGAAATTGAAAATTAGTGTCCAAATTATTCCCTAACCATAATTTGATTTTATCTTTCATGGATGATTTTACCTTAGGCATTTTGAGGATTCTTTACTGTATGCACAAAAATCAAAACCGGCCCCAGCACACTCACTAACACGCAAAGACACTCAGTATCACTAACAATAAACTTCTAAAATAAAATGCTTTTTCAGAGATTCACCTCCTTCCGGCTATAATCTAAATGAAATGCAGGCCAGCGTTGTCAGTTGGCGACACCAACCCGTACCATTAAACCATCAAGGGCGTTGTTTACAACCCATTTTTAAACAATCTGTCAGCCAAAACAATGAATTCACGGAAAATCTCTATTGTGCAAGCACGTCCGCTTCGTTGGTCGTGGAATCCTATTTTAAGTTTTTTAAAATTTACAATTAGGTCGTTTAATTAACACTTTAGGTCTCTAACGGTAATTTAGGCATTTTAGGTAGCAATAAATGGGCGTTAAATAAACAGAATTTTTTAAATTCGGATAAATATATAAATTTGGCTGCAATGTCTGAAATAGATATAAAAAGACAAAAAACCTAAGATCCAAAGCCTAGTAATGAGTTAAAACCATCGCCCTGAATTAATACTGACGTGGATGATCTATGATACGAAGGTATGTGGACAAATACTTTTTTACTTTTATTTCCGTGACACAATTTCGTCCATTAATTGGTAATAGCAACCTGTTTTATATCTTCATATTTAACTCATCAATCAAATTGTGACCCCCCCATTTCAAAAGGTCACGAGCCGCCACTGTGTATTAGGACCTCGAACATTTAAAAATGTTAACATGAACTGTGAATTTACAAACAATACAACAAAAATAATACGTGTTGTTGGATTAGTCAACTGTAATTAACTGGTTTACGCTAATTACACTTGTTGAGGAGGGCAGTGGTGTCGAATGCGCTTATGTGAGTGTTTTGTCCAAATAAAACTCTTGAACTACCAACCTAAATTTAATTTTTTGCCATTCTCCGACACGTACTAAAACTTGGATTTTTTCAAATTGGAACACCTAATTGCCAATTGTATTGCTATATAATAGAGTCAAAATACCCAAAAAGAGAGTTTCGGAGAATAGTTGCCTAAAAATTCACTAACAATTAATATTTCATATAAACTGGAAAATGTCAATAATATTATTAATTGCAGTGATGAGAACTGAAGAAACAAGGCACAATACTGTGGTGACCAAATTTGAATTAAAATTTCGCGCTGAAAATAAAGCAACGGCGCGAAATCGCATTTGAATAATTTGAATTAAAAAATCGCAACGATGACGACGCCAGAGTTTCCCCAACAAGCAAGTAACTCTGTAATTATTGCTGTTTTTCTAATGGAAAATATGCGAATTTTCGACAGACGCCAACACGTGGTGTAAATTTGATTTATTGTTTGTAAATTCACAGTTCATGTTAGGATTTTAATCGTTACTGGTTCTAACACAATTTAACAGTCATGAGATTGCTCGGATAAAGTACTTGCTAGGAAATTTTATGAGATTCACTTACTCAGGACTCATCCTTTGTTTATCAAGTTATAAAAAAGTTTTTGTGAAAAATGCGGTATAATTCAGAATATCGTGGACTGAGGGACGGGGGATACTTTTTCCCCTTAGGCAGTTATCATCATCACATCACCGAGACATATTTCCTGCGACGTGGGAAATTATACTACTGAGACGTAATTCTCGCGACGAGGGATGCATTTTGTGTTTATCATGTGTTTGTTTGGGATAAGCTGGGGACAGTCCACGATATAAACTCTCAAAGCTAATTGTCTTAAGTAACCAATCACTTGGATCATGGCATAATTTAACAGCATGCAAATTCTTTGTTTGAATTGTTGACAAAGTGCGACAAATCTTAAACCTATGTAATTTTGTTAGCTTTGCAATTTCACGAGAGTGTATGGCGAATTTAAATGTTGTTTATTGCTCCTTTTGAAACTTTAACACTTGTTCGGTTGTAGTTTAATATCAGAATTATGAAAATTGAACATTTAAATGGAATTGAGGTAAATAACACGTGGCGGAAGCGGAGTGCGCGGTTCCTTATCGAGCTGATGGTCGTGCCGTCTGTACAAAAGACGCAGATTTTGAATAGAAGTCAGGGGAACGGTCGGGATGAAGTGACACTCCCGACTTATTGCAATAACCGAGATTTCCAACCACGAGTTTGTGACCGTGAACGGCCTGTTAGCGCGGCACGTGCTTGCCGATATAATAGATCTCCGGCGTGCGTAGGAGAACAGCCACGACCAGGAGCCCCAAAATCCGCTCGTCTTACAACGCCACTTATGGGTAATTTTGCTTTTATTTTACCCAATTGTTCAAGATTTTTTGTTCACATCTTTAATTTTCAAGTCAGTTGTCAGTTATATGCAATTTCTGAGCTACATTATTAATTTCTGTTGTTACCATAAGCAAACAAATTCCTAATTTTTCATTGTAACCAATTAAAATATAGGTTTAAAATTTCAGGTATTTTTTGTTTTCGTATTTATTTAATTCAAAATTATTTTTAAATTGGACTCGTATGCAACCAATAATACTGCAATGTACAATCACAAAACATGTATACGTAGATGTAGCGACTGGGAACTCGCTAAATAGACGGTTTTTCTCTCTGAACTCTGAACTCTGGACACTTGAACGGTGAAGAAAAGTCGTTCAGATGAAAATGTGGCGTATTTTGTTCCTACAATCAAGAATAAAATATTTCCAGAACAAACAATAGAAAGACACGAAAGTTGCGCTACAAGCAACCAACGAAAGGAACTTCAAAATTTCCCTCAGATATTGGAAAGGAAAACACCAACACCTAACAAACTGTCACTGCCGGCGAAAGTGAATGTGCTGCGTTTACGTTTCTTAATTCTATTTTTGTAGAAATCCACTCCAATATCTTGGCTGACAACTAAGGCACTGGTAACGCAGAGGATTATTCTAAATTCTCACATTTCTGCCTGAAATTAAGCAAATATTTTTTATTGATATGTTCCAGCTGCAATGAATTTGTTCAAAAAATCGAAGAGGTGGAGTAAAACTGGGTGATTTCCAGTTCCTGAAAACTCTGAAGATAATTCCTTAACGGGTTAATCATGGCGATCAGCTAACAATAATTTCAGATTTTAGATTTATTTACCCTTGGTTTTGTACACTTTGATTTAAACTTTAAGTTGTTTCCTATTGGTCGAAAAACTACATCTCAATCAATTCCACAAAATTAAAAAGAAAATGTTAAAATCTTTATTAAAGACAAATGTTATGCAGATCAAAAAAAATGTGTTGGAACGCAATATGTACAAATGTCAGAGCAGGAAATAACTTTTGATACTTTAAAAATGAACGATAACTACATATTCATTTTCATTTTGGCCAAACTTCTAAACTCAAACGTGGATGAAACGTTTACATATAAAAATAGAATCGTTTATTACGTGTCAAAGGAAACAAAATGAACCGCCATAAAAATAGCATAAAACCAAAATAAAAACAAATACAGCCTATGTATTATATTCCAATCAATTATTTTAGAGCCATTTTAATTATTTATATTTGATATGATGATGAATGTCTCTGTTTCACTAACTTTAATAAATTACTCGATATATCAACTAAAAATAACATAAAATGGCTTCATCCTCATTTTAAATACTAATAGTACTTAAAACAAAACAGAATAAATACAACAAATTCGACAACAAACTTATCGTAGGCGTGTTCTAACATTAGCGTATTTAATACTTAAATTAACCGTGAAAAAAATTTATCTTAATGTACATTATCCTTCTTCTTTCAACCGCACAATATTAGTATTTAAAATGAATTATAGACATTATTACGAATATCTAACCTATCTTAAAAATAAATTATGTTCACTTCTTCTTGTTTTTATTAGTACCTCCTCTAGGTGGCGTTACAGGCCTTCCTGCATTCATGTTGTACTGGAACTTCCGTTTGTCCGCTGGCTTCAGGATTTGAAAACTGCACATCAACGTTTCATCCACAGACATCATAGCTCCTGCGTTGTCAAATTCACCTGCAAACACACGGTACTTAGTCATTCGAACCCAAAACAAAACAACTCCTCGACCTACCGCAGTAATTAGGTGCGCTGAAGAGCGTGACGAGTTGTCGTTTCGCGAAGAATTCGTAACCGTCTTCGACGACTTGATGGGCACGACAGATGAGATCGAAATCGTGTTTATGTAAGAATTTTCCGACGACTTCGGCACCGAACGTGAAACTGACGCCTCGGTCGTTCTCTCCCCAGCCCATCTGGTCCTTGTCCGGGTCGGACCACAGCAGATCGCACAATAAACCCTGGTCAGGTACGTCGGTTGGTCTCATTATTCGGCGGATCTGTTCCATCGACTGGAGGTCGGGGCTGAGGCCCCCGTGACAGCAGAAGATTTTTTCGTCGACGATAGCGGCCACCGGTAAACAGTTGAAGCAGTCGGTGAAGGTTTTCCATAGCTTTATGTTGTACCTTGAACGGGAAAAGGTTTCAGCTTCTGTTTGTTGTTGGCATGTAAACGATCACGTGATTAGCGTTAATTAACATTTTCGGCTTGCGAAAATGTTGTTTCGTGATAGGAGGAGGAAAATCGATTCCAATTAGACGGATGACGGTGTTTTGGTTTAATTTCCCTAACGTTTGTTAATGTAATGATGAAACTACAGAATTAGCGAAATGTCTGGCAACAAAGGAAATTGCACGCACGCACAGGTAAACTGCTCTTTGCCCTATAAAAATAAATTTGTGATTTTAATAGATTACGGTAATAAACGTTTATTATAATATATTGCGATTTATAATTATATTATGAACGTTGGCGGAATTCCAAAACTATGAAATCACTCTACATGCGTAAATAGACAATTTTTATCTTCCGTCCAAGGATATTTTAATCCTTTAATAAGGTCTTTCCCCAAATTAAATTTTTAGAAAGATTTACGCAGTAACAAATCCCATTTACATAATACTGCATGCCAGGTCCTTTTTATGGAATTTCGTGAAACTGGTAGCATTAAGAGGAAATTAGGAGGTCGCACATTAACAAAATGAACACCCGAGATTACCAAAAATGTCCAACAGGTTATGGACCCATATACATCTTTAAGGCGGAACCTCACCCACCCAGACTATGTCGGAAATAATGTAAAACCACATTCTCGTTGTAGTTGCATGAGTATTTGAAGGAATAGACGATATCCTCGCATAAAAAACTCAAAAGTAGTCATTTTTCGAAATTTTGTTGTTCTTAAAAAAAATTAGTGGAAAGTTGTTTCGACAGAACTTCCCTCGCACCTAAACTACAATGAAACATGCCAACATTTTCGAGTTGAGTTTTTTCTTTACACAATTTTGTGATGACGTCATCTACATTTTTAATAATAGTATTGTATCAAACTCATTCATTAATTTTTTTAAACCACCAAAAAAATATGAATGCAATTATAAATCACAAGTACAGACTCATTACATTTTGCACATTAAACGAAAGATTTATTTAGCAATATTTTGGGGTGACGTCATAAATTTTTTAGGGGGGATGAGCAAACACACTGATCATTACATCTCATCACAACTTTAAAATATGTCGGAAGATTTAAAAACATTTGGTTTTGCAGATTCAAAATTAAATTGCAAAATGTTAAGTTTAACTTTTTCCTACAGTCATTTATATTTATAAGCAAGCAATAGCCCCGCCCACTCACTCCTTCTTCATTCCAGTGATCACTCTTTTCAGTCAGAAATTATTACATTTTGTCAATTTTTTCTTAATATACAAAATCTTCTTTTCCCAACAAGAAACTGACAACATGTTTAACTATCCGGTTGTTGAAAGAAAACTATTAAAAAAAAAAAAAAAGTGATCAGTTTTTCATTCCTAATCACACCGAAGGGCGGAGTTTAATGAATAAAATATTCATCGCAATTGAGAAGGGGTGGGTGGGTGGGGCTTATATTTTGTCCTTTTTTTCTAATATACAAAGTCTTCTTTTCCTAATAAAAAACTGACATGTTTACCTATCCTGTTGTTGAATGAAAACTCTATATATTAACAAAAAAAATTGAGCCCCCCCCCCATCTCAATTGTGATAAGTTTTTCATTCCTAATCAGACCGAAGGGCGGAGATTAACTTCAAAATCCTCATTTCTCTATAAGAAATTATCATATGAAATATGTTTTTATATCAATATGTCTCTAAAAAATTCTACCCTTTTAAAAACATATTTCATATGGCAATTTCTTGTAGTGAAATCAAGATTTTGCAAACTAATCTCCGCCCTTCAGCTCATGATGAATAAAGCATTCATCAAAATTAAGAAGTGGTGGGTGGGCGGGGCTTATATTTTGTCCATTTTCCTCCATGGGACTCCTGAGAAGGTTTCACATTCTTTCTTCTTAAAAAAGCACTGTCCCGCAGAAAATTTCAGAACTCAAAACTTTTTCTCCTCTCACATTTTTCGCGAGTGCCACAATGTTAATTATTTTATTGGTTATTGGTTGTTTTCGATCTCGGATTTTTCAAAATTACCACAAATTTTGTCGAATAAAAAACTTTTCTTTGAAATTGTGTTAAATGTTTTTTTTCTTTCATAATTTGAACTAACGCTTTTTTAAACATGAAAACTTAAAAAAAAATGTTTATGCTTCAACAAATTTTGAGTAATCTGGAATTTCAGAATTTTATCATTGAGAATACCGAATCTTTTATTTCTCTCTCAGATTTTTCAATGTTGCCACAATGTTTATTATTTTATAAAAAAATCAAACCTGCATTTTATTCTGAAACCATTAAATTTTGTAGTTTTTTAAGACCTCTATTTTCTTAGAAGATATGTCATTTGCCAAACTCAGTTTTATTTTAGCAAGAACTAACCACGCCCACCCGCCCTCTATTTTCTTAGAAGGTATGTTATTTGCCAAAATCAGTCTTATTTTAGCAAGCACTAGCCCCGCCCACCCGCCCTCTATTTTCTTAGAGAGACTGTCATCTGCCAAAATCAGCCTTATTTTAAGAAATACTAGTGCCGCCCACCCGCCCCCTATTTTCTTCGAGGGTATGTAATTTTGCACAGTCAGTCTTATCTTAGCAAGTATTAGCTCCGCCCACCCATATCTTTATAGAATGAGAATGGGACCCAATAAAAAGTTGGCTGTTAAAAAAAGCGCCAATCGTAATTTTTTGTGAAGTATACTATTTGCTATAAGATTTATTTTTTATTTCAAACGAAAAAAAATGAGAGAACGGGTGGGTGGGCGGCGCTAAGTTTAATTTTTTCCTGCAGAGTAATTTAGCAGCAAGCAATAGCCCCGCCCACCCGCCCTCTATTTTCCCAGAGGGTATGTAATTTTCCAGTCAGTCTTATCTTAGCAAGTACTAGCCCCGCCCACCCACCCTTATCTTCTTAGAAGATGCCCTCTATTTTCCTAGAGGGTATGTAATTTTCCAGTCCGTCTTATCTTAGCAAGTACTAGTCCCGCCCACTCATCCTTACCTTCTTAGAAGATAAGTTATTTACCACAGTCAGTACTGTCTTAGCAAGTACTTGCCCCACCCACCCGCCCTGTTCACATTATAACGATTTTATTTCTGTTCAGTATTAGATCCACCCTTCATTCAAACTGGATAAAATGAATCACTGAGATTAAAGCGGGGTGGGTGGGCGGGGTTAATTATGTCCTTTTATAGAGCGAGAATGAGAATTAATAAAATGTAGGTAAGATGTAAGCGCCAATCGTAATTTTTTGCTATAAGATTTATTTCTTATTTCAGAAGAAAAAAAAGAGAATGGGTGGGAGGGCGGGGCTAAGTTTAACTTTTTCCTTCAAAGTCTTTTATAAGCAAGCAATAGCCCCGCCCACCCGCCCTTTATTTTCTTCGAGGATATGTAATTTTCCAGTCAGTCTTCTTTTAGCAAGTACTAGCTCCGCCCACCCAACCTTTTTTTCTTGGAAGGTAAGTCATTTACCAAAGTCGGTCCTCTTTTAGCAGGTACTAGCCCCGCCCACCTGCGCTGTTCCCATTCTAACGATTTTATTTCTGTTCAGTATGAGATCCACCTTTCATTCCTAATCAGACCGAAGGGCGGAGATTAACTTCAAAATCCTCATTTCTCTATAAGAAATTATCATGTGAAATATGTTTTTACATCAATATTTCTCAAAAAAATTCTACCCTTTTAAAAACATTTCATATGGCAATTTCTTGTAGTGAAATCAAGATTTTGCAAACTAATCTCCGCCCTTCAGCTCATGATGAATTAAGCATTCATCAAAATTAAGAAGTGGTGGGTGGGCGGGGCTTATATTTTGTCCATTTTTCTCCATGGGACTCCTGAGAAGGTTTCACATTCTTTCTTCTTAAAAAAGCACTGTCCCACAGAAAATTTCAGAACTCAAAACTTTTTCTCTCTCACATTTTTCGCGAGTGCCACAATGTTAATTATTTTATTGACTATTGGTTGTTTTCGATCTCGGATTTTTCAACATTACCACAAATTTTGTCGAATAAAAATTTTTTCTTTGAAATTGTGTTAAATGTTTTTTTTCTTTCATAATTTGAACTAACGCTTTTTCTAAATATGAAAACTTAAAAAAAACATGTTTATGCTTCAACAAATTTTGAGTAATCTGGAATTTCAGAATTTTATCATTGAGAATACCGAATCTTTTTTTTCTCTCTCAAATTTTTCAATGTTGCCAAAATGTTTATTATTTTATAAAAAATTCGAACCTGCATTTTATTCTGAAACCATTAAATTTTGTAGTTTTTTAAGACCTCTATTTTTTTAGAAGGTATGTCATTTACCAAACTCAGTTTTATTTTAGCAAGAACTAACCACGCCCACCCGCCCTCTATTTTCTTAGAAGGTATGTTATTTGCCAAAATCAGTCTTATTTTAGCAAACACTAGCCCCGCCCGCCCGCCCTCTATTTTCTTAGAGACTGTCATCTGCCAAAATCAGCCTTATTTTAAGAAATACTAGTCCCGACCACCCGCCCCCTATTTTCTTCGAGAGTATGTAATTTTGCACAGTCAGTCTTATCTGAGCAAGTATTAGCTCCGCCCACCCATATCTTTATAGAATGAGAATGGGAACCAATAAAAAGTAGGCTGTTAAAAAGAGCGCCAATCGTAATTTTTTGTGAAGTATACTATTTGCTATAAGATTTATTTTTTATTTCAAACGAAAAAAAATGAGAGAACGGGTGGGTGGGCGGCGCTAAGTTTAATTTTTTCCTGCAGAGTAATTTAGCAGCAAGCAATAGCCCCGCCCACCCGCCCTCTATTTTCCTAGAGGGTATGTAATTTTCCAGTCAGTCTTATCTTAGCAAGTACTAGCCCCGCCCGCCCACCCTTATCTTCTTAGAAGATGCCATCTATTTTCCCAGAGGGTATGTAATTTTCCAGTCAGTCTTATCTTAGCAAGTACTAGCCCCGCCCACCCACCCTTATCTTCTTAGAAGATAAGTTATTTACCACAGTCAGTCCTATCTTAGCAAGTACTTGCCCCACCCACCCGCCCTGTTCTCATTCTAACGATTTTATTTCTGTTCAGTATTAGATCCACCCTTCATTCGAATTGGATAAAATGAACCACTGAAATGAAGGCGGGGTTAATTATGTCCTTGTATAGAACGAGAATGAGAATTAATAAAATGTAGGTAAGATGTAAGCGCCAATCGTAATTTTTTGTTATACTATTTGCTATAAGATTTATTTCTTATTTCAGAAGAAAAAAATGAGAATGGGTGGGAGGGCGGGGCTAAGTTTAACCTTTTCCTTCAAAGTCTTTTATAAGCAAGCAATAGCCCCGCCCACCCGCCCTCTATTTTCTTCGAGGATATGTAATTTTCCAGTCAGTCTTCTTTTAGCAAGCACTAGCTCCGCCCACCCAACCTTTTTTTCTTGGAAGGCAAGTCATTTACCAAAGTCGGTCCTCTTTTAGCAGGTACTAGCGCCGCCCACCTGCGCTGTTCCCATTCTAACGATTTTATTTCTGTTCAGTATGAGATCCACCATTCATTCTGACTGGATAAAATAAATCAGTGAAATGTAGGGGGGGTGGATGGGCTGGGTTAATTATATGTCCCTTTATGGGAAGCGCCAATCATATTTTTTTGTTGTACTACATATTTGCTGTAAGATTTATATATTTCTTATTTCAGAAAAAAAAAATGAGAACAGTGGTGGGTGGGAGGGGCTAAGTTTAACTTTTTCCTACAGAGTTATTTACAAGCAAGCAATAGCCCCGCCCACCCACCCTCTATTTTCTTAGAAGTTATGTAATTTTCCACAGTCAGTATTATCTTAGCAAGTACTAGCTCCACCCACCACCCTTTATTTTCTTAAAGGGTAATTCATTTACGAAAGTCAGTCCTATCTTGGCAAGTACTAGCCCCGCCCACCCGCGGTATTCTCATATTCACGATTTTATTTTTGTTCAGTATGAGATCCATCGTTCATTCGGACTAGATAAAATGAATCACTGAAATGAAGGCAGGGTGGGTGGGCGGGGTTAGCTATATATCCTTTTGTAGAGTAAGAATGCGAACTAATAAAATGTGGGCTGTTCAAAAAAGCGCCAATCATAATTTTTTGTTGTACTATTTGCTATAAGATTTCTTATTTCAGAAGAAAAAAAATGGTGGGAGGGGCTAAGTTTAACTTTTTCCTACAGTCATTTACAAGCAAGCAATAGCACCGCCCACCCGCCCTTATTTTCTCAAAGGGTAAGTCATTTACTAAAGTCAGTCTTATCTTAGCAGGTACTAGCCCCGCCCACCCGGGCTGTTTTCATTCTAACAATGTTATTTCTGTGAAGTATGAGATCCATCTTTCATTCGGAGTAGATAAAATGAATCACTGAAATGAAGGCGGGGTGGGTGGGCGGGATGAATTATATATTCTTTTATGGAGTTTTATAGAAAATGAAGCTTTACTATCATCTTTTTGTAACAAGAAATATATTCATTACCTACAGATTATGATGTATCCAGACTTCGTATAATAAGAAGGTAGGGTTTGTGGAGTTGTCATTCTTTGACCGATATTTGGTTATTTGAGAATATACACGGCCTAAAATTTTTAAAATCTGGTTTCATTTTTACTTCCCGAGCGTTAAGTGGGCGATTGGCTATTTTCGTTATTTCGACGTTTCGTGACCCGAAAGTACGAAAAAATTGGTCTCCCGTTTCCGTCTGCCTGTCTGTTTGTCGTCTGTGTTGATTTCTATTAGACAGATAATCCGAAACCATCGTACCGGTTATTAACAAATTTTATATACATTTTAGAATTACTATTTATTAGTTAAGACCGTGTCTGCCCACCTCGATCACCCGATTTGACACCTTTAGATCGTTTTTTGTTCCAGATTTTGAAAATTAAAAAATACTATTTTTAAACTATCAGCGGATACAACTGAGGATCTAAAAGTGAGAATTGTTGTGAATTTAATTAAATGTTATCTACTTAAGTAAATAATTTTAAATCAAACGAAGGTTTAATTTTTGTTTTTTTGTTGACATAACATAACCTAGCTTCATGAGTTCTCTCACAGATAACCTACATTAAGTGACTTACGTGCTAAATTCAAATATTACTTAATGAAATTATTATGTAAAATTTAATAGAGTGTAAATGAAACTGACAAAATACCCAACCACACATTCAAACTTATTATTTACAAGGATAACGGATTTTCCCGACTTCAATATCGGTAACTGCATCTGTTAAAAATACGGTTGTCGGAAAAACTGCACTCATCTGTCCAAATAATTTTTCATATCTTAGGTAAATAAAGAGGGCAAAATTGTTCCCTTCGAAATCGAACGTTTTACTCTAACGCATGCAGTTTTTGAGGCATGTGGAGTTCGTGTTGATATGTCATCAATATTTACAATTTTCCCCAACTGAAGTTTTTAGAATTTTTACCGTACTAAGAAAACTTAGCTAGTCATTGTTTCTTGAAAACCTCCCGTTTTGTTTTAATTTTCTTCATACTTCCAAGCTTACAACCTCGAGCAAACTGTCTTTCAGTTGATTATTATTCATGTTTTATTACTTAATTAATGATTTAATCGAGAAATTAACTTTATTTATTAGAACTAACTTTTTTCAGCAAGTTAAAAAAAAATATAAAATTAAAGATTCACATATTTAGCGCTGTGTTTATAGTTTTATGTAAATTTTGATATATTAATTTCAACAACTCGTAAACAGCACTTAAAAAAAATAATAAAAAAAAAAAAAAATAATCCTTAAATTACAACATATGTTCAACTCTGAACCATTGACAGTTTGACATTGACCTTTAACTGCATCGTTTAGTCTAACGAGAGCACGTTCCAGAGAATTCAAAAAATTAAACAGAACTGTGAACTGACGATTGGCTCCGTTTTATTTATATCTCTACAGCAGAAAGAAACATCAGCCTATAATCAAATGGAAATTTTCTCTATCGGAGAAATTTAATGAAAGCAAAACAGTCTCTTCGATTTTTTCTAAATTTATCTTAAATGTGTTATTAAACACTATTTCAATATACATACACGGTTTTAATTTTATTGTTTTAATGTTTTCACTACTAGTTTTCCAATTACTGCTATGTCAATATTTTCATTGAAACGAATTCCGTAAACTCAACTGTGCGGAACGCAAACAATATCGTGCAAAAATTAGTTAAACAGACGATAAAGCGGATTTTGCAATACTAATTCTCATTCTCTATTACGTGATGGGTTGTTCCGCTGGCATGGTAATAAGTGGAACTTTTAAATAGTAATTTCAAATTTTAGTTGGCATCGATTTTTTTTAGAATTTAATTACTTCCAGCAGCATGGTGCAACAGCACACACAGCTCGAGCAAGTTTTTGAAAACCGGATCAGTAGAGCTGAGCACAATAATCGAATAAATGGATGTAATCACGTGTTCTTAGTACCGACGTCATTTTTGTATGACGACACACTTACATTTCGTGTGTACACATATTTTTTTTATCGTGTGAGTAAGCGGCAACTTGAATAAAAAAATCTAGTTTATCATCACAACTTTCAACATTACTAGATAACAGTGACATCAATAATATTGAATATTTCGACTTAATTCGTCATTACTATTTCCAAAATGAAAACTAGAATGAAATCCTACTTAGATAACGACTGTCGAGTTTATTTTAATTTCTGTACACATTCCTCTAGTCTATGAACAAGCCTGGTATTCACGTTCCAGTAAATTCATAGCTTTTTTCTGATAAAGTTATCGCCGTTAGATAACACACACTATATTTAAATTCCACACAATACTGTGTACTTTTAACAATGGCTGGAGTCGGAATCCATAATGTACAATTACTTCCATTTATAGTTTCTAACAATCTAATGATTGTCGCACGACTAATAGATCGACTAATATCGTAGACGAACGTGCAATTTGTAGGAAAATACGCACAAAAAAGAGGAGTAAGTTGAATCATAATCGATAAAAGATGATTCAGTGTGTCCAGATGAATCACTAAATTATAATCATCTAAAAGCAAATTTTTCAAGGGACGCCACGTTCCCACATTTAAGATAAAAATTTCAGTGCCGAACTGATAATTATAAAGTGAGTATACCTTGAATTGGTTATATAACCAGTTGGAAAATAAATGCATTTCTCACACAACAATTAGGTGCATATTTGAGAAAATAACAGTTTACACCGCGGAAGAGAAAACTTTCAGACTTCATTATCTCTAATACTATGCGTCCCAAGCGAATTTATTTACAAAGCTTTGGTTGAAAATAACTGTTTGTAGTTGTACTACGTGACTTATTTAATATTAATAAACGAAAAACCACCTGTAACGTGTTTACACAACTTCAAGAAAATCAGATGAGTCATTTTTCAGGTAATCGATACCATTCGGTTCATAGTAATTTTTTCATAATAATATGGTTAGTCAGACAGACAGACGCCACAAAAACAAGAAATTAAATATTCATTCTTTCTCAAGACGACGTAATCAATTTTTCGCGGGCTATAAATTCATCATCCGAATTTTTATTATACAATCTATTTCACGACTGTTTCATAACCCGGTCCTGCTAATCGCACCCGACCGGACGCCCGATTACACCGCAGGAAATCTGTAATCCTCCTTCCTCGCCACGAATCGAAACAAAATTTCAACCCAACTAATTAAAAACTTCAAAACGCCCAAATCTCGTTTTAATTAACTCATTAAAACTTATGACTTACCTCCTTTTACATTCGTCGTAGAATCCGTATATGCGATTGATCGAAGCGCACTCGTGGTTACCTCTAAGAAGGAAGAAATTCTCGGGATACTTGATTTTGTAGGCGAGTAGAAGACAAATCGTTTCCAACGATTGCTTGCCACGATCGACGTAGTCGCCGAGGAACAAGTAGTTCGATTCTGGCGGGAAACCGCCGTATTCGAAAAGACGAAGGAGATCGTAGTACTGACCGTGAATGTCGCCTACGAACACACAACAATTAATATGTTAAATAAACAAACAATAAATATGGAAAATGAGCAGGCGTTCGTTCGGCAATTTTCATTTTTAATTTTACTGCGTTTTTGTGTTAGAATGCGGTGAGGAAAACCTCGGCTTCGCCTCAGTCGTAAGCAGTCGAGGGTACAATTAATTTTTCATAATCTCAAATACAATACAAGTGTAAATTTTGACACTAAACAACATTTAAAATTTGAAATCGCCCTTTCTCTCGTTAAAAGAGAAAACTGTTTTAAATTCATTCGACATTTGACTCGCTGCTATAAAACATTTACTCGCAGCATTTTCTAAAAATACGACAAAATTGAAACAATAATAAAGGTTAGTATAAAATATGGCGACTCAAGTTTTGCCGCCAATAAAATTTAGGACCACCTTAAAAACCAAACTTTACAATGTCATATTATTCGCGCTCAATGCAACCTTTCAAACGAGACAAACAAACCTCCAAACTTTGTCTCACCTTCAAAATAAATCTTTCTAACCTATTTTCCATCTCTTTTGTATTGCTCTTTCACACCATTCTGCTTATCACAACTTTGCAACTTGTCAAAATCAATATTCTCTTCCATTTAAATGCAGGAACAAACAAACTTAAAAAAACTTAAAACTCATGCACTGATTAATGTTTAACGTAGTTTGGTGATAAAAATAAAAAAGGTGATTATGTTAAACTATCACCTCACTTGGTAATAAATAATAATTATCTTGTGTTGTCTTTTACAAAACAATTTACTGAGTTGGCAGTTTTATAACTTTGTTGTAGCCACTTTCGTCACCAATAATTACAAACAATTACATAAACTTGGCAATAAAAAAAAAAGCGGATAAAAAAATTGCGGTGTAATTAACTTGTATCTATGATTACATAAAAACACACTCGACGCCAACACACTTATTTATCTTTACCACAATTTTTCATGGTGCTGGTTTACAAGAGGTGACGTCATACTTAAAATTACACCTGCTCTTAAGGTTAGAGGGTGGTCGTAATTGGTGTCATTTGGGTGTTTCAGTGGCGTCAACTAAATCACATAAATAATAATAATGATCTTCGCAAATGTTTTTGGTCAGTGCACTGCAATATTTACACAGATGAGTCATCTGCACATTTACAACAACAAATCTCGATGTGTTAACCAATGTAACCTCTAGTGGAGCAAACAAGACGATTAAAATTTCCGAAAAAACTATGAAAATGAACGAATTACCGGCCACTAACTAACGATACGTTAATCCTATTTTACTTACCGCATATTTTAAGTGGAGCTTCCAATTCCAACAAAATTGGTTGCGAAAGGAAAATTTCCCTGGACTTGAGACACAGCCCTCTGATTTCACTTTCGGTTAATTGTACATTTTTGCCTGGTCTTGCTCCACGTACTGAAAAATCGAAGAATTCGTGTGAATTTTGACGTTTTACAAGGCGTTCACCGAGGACGCCATTAGAACTGTCAACAGAAATTGACCTTCAACATTTACCTTCTAAAAGACGAGCTATTATACTATCGATATTTAGTTTATCGGCTTCAGCCATTAGTTTCGATATTCGTGACCTGTCTTAAACGACCTTTTTCACTTAAAACTACCGGATGGCTCGGATTTCTTAAGATCTTTGAGGAGCCCCACTGATATAAACACTACTTTTTTGCTTCAGCTCGCGCGGAGGCCGAAGATAGCTTCGAGCGACAGGGCTGCCAACGGACGGCTCGAATTCCCCCAGACGGTAAAAGCCGCCAAAACGCCTCCACCCAGAAACGAAATTATCCTTCGAAATAAACACCACAGCGAAATTTTTCAAACCAATTCGAGAGCCCTTATCGTCTCGATAACTGTTTTCGGTGTCGAAGCGTCTCCAGAGGCGCACTTAATCGCGCCTAACTTCACGTCGCCTATCCAAGATGGCACCCCGGTGTAAACAAAATATTTTTGCAACATTTTCAAATTAATTTGAAATGAAATAAACTCACACTATAATTCGAGATGGCAGACGCAGGCGAGAATCTGGATGGTTTGGAAATCCCCGAGGATATTTTTCACGATATAAAATTTTTTGTGAGTGGCGAAGTCTCCGCGAAGGTATTCACGTTGCACAGTATTTACTTTTTTTTCACTACACGATCGATTTCAGGTGGTTGATTTGCTGAAAAGTGGTGGTGCTGAACGTTTGAATTACTTTTCTGACTACGTTACCCATTTGCTCTGTGGCGAAAATCCAGAAGAGAATGACTTATGTGATGCCAATGATCTGTATGAAATCCCTGCAGTTACCGCCAGTTGGGTTTTGATGTGTATCAAATTAAAGAAAATAGTCAATACGAAACCGTACATTTATAACACGGAGAGGTTATTTTCAAACTGTGTTTTTTGCCTGTCGAAGCCAGGAGGTGATCGGGATGTGTTGTGGGCTGTTATAACATATCATGGAGGGGTAGTACAATTAAACTTGGACAGCAGGTGCACTCATTTGGTTACCATTGATGTAAATACGACGAAATATGAGAAAGCTTACAACTTAGGGCCTGAAAAAATACTTATAGTAACGCCTGATTGGGTTATTGAATCCGTTAGAAATAAGTCGTTGGCACAAGCTGACTTATTTCACCCGAAACTTATTAAGTGGCCTAAAGTAATAAAACATGAAAGCACAACGGCTATCACTGGCTTTGAGCCTGAAAAAGTGGAACCTTTTGACAAAACTGACAGCTTGGTTACCGACTCTACGCAAGCTTTATTAGATAAACTTAAACAAAGAATGCCATGGATTCAAACGCAGAGTACCACGGCGGCGGATATCGTACCACCAAATGTGATCGCGCCGAGTTTCTTGAATAAAAATCAACAAAATCAACAGATTCGGACTTTCGCGAAACCGCTTAATCAACCACAAGTTAGTCAACAGCAACAAATCCAACCACAAGTTAGTCAACAACAACAACAGCAACCACAACAACAGCCACAGCCACCGCAGCAGCAACAGCAGCAGCCACCGCAACCACAACAGCCACAACCACAACAGCAGCAGCCGCCACCTGTTACTACCTTTGCACAGCCTCAGACAGGTGTTATTTCCAATCAGCAAATACCCAGAAGTATTGTTCATCATACACCACAACCACAACAGTTGCTGCAACAGCAACAACAACAACAGTCAACACAACCACAGTCACAACCAACGTTCAGTTTACCAAATCAGTTACATCTGAATCGGTTGATCAGTCAACAGCAAAACAGACCCACACTACAGCAGTTACGAAGTCAATTAGGCCCCACCCAGCTGCATCATCATTTGTTGCAGCAACGCATTCAGCAGCAACAACAGAACCAACAAAATGCTGCCCAGCGGCCTCTTCTGTTGCAACAACAGCAACAACTACTCCAACAACAAATTGCCCAAGGTCAGCTAGGGCAGGCACGGCAGTTGTTGCAAAATCAGAGTCAACAGCAACAGTTAAATCAATTAAACCAAATCCAACAGCAGTCGCAGTTGGGGTTGCAACAGCAGAATCAACAAAACAATCAACAGCTGGGTCAGATTCAACAACCCGTCTCCCTGGCGCAAAACCAACAGTTTGCGAATATCATACAACAGCCGCAACATATTCTGCAGCAGCAACAACAACAGCAAAACCAAGTTTTACAGCAGCAGAATCAAGTTTTGCAACAACAGCAGCAACAAAATCAAGTTTTACAACAGCAGCAGCAGCAGCAGCAGAATCAAGTGTTGCAACAACAACAGAATCAAGTTTTACAGCAGCAGCAACAGAATCAAGTGCTGCAGCAGCAACAGAATCAAATTTTGCAACAGCAGCAGCAACAAAATCAAGTTTTGCAGCAGCAGCAGCAACAAAATCAAGTTTTGCAACAGCAACCAAATCAGATATTGCAACAGCAGCAACCAACTCAGGTGTTACAACAGCAACAACCGAATCAGGTCTTGCAGCAGCCGAACAAGATTTTTGTTTCGCAGCAGCAGATTGTGCAAAATCAGCCGAATTTGGCGATTCAGCAACAATTCGTTGGCCAAAATCAACCGCAGTTCACTCAACAGCACCCACAACAGCCGCAGACGAGTCAACATTTCGTTCAGAATCAACCGGAGAATTTGTTGCAGAGTTCGCAGTTTCAGCAGAATAATGTTATCAGTCAGCAGTTGTTGTTGAATCAGCAGCAGAGCCAGTTTAATCAGCAACAGCAGCAACCTCAGCCGAATCAGCCGCAGCCAAGGCCACAGATAAATCAACATTTGTGGCAGCAACAGCAACAACAGCAGCAGCAACAACAACAGCAGCAGCAACAGATGACTATTAGGCATCCTGTTAATATAGTGCAGCAAGGGCCTAGGATTCAGTGGTCGCCAAATCAACAACCTAATCAGCCGCAACGTCAGTTTATTCAACTCGACGCTCAAACTCATAATGAACTACAGAAAATGAACCCTGAACAGCAGGCGTTGTTTGTTCAGAGATTGAAACAGAAACAGCTGCTTGTGCAAAAACAACTAGCTCAGAGGGCTGGTGGGGGGCACATTTTGATCAGAGGTTCAGTACCACCGGGTTTAAACCCCCAACAACAAATGCAGTGGCTACAGCGCCAAGCCAAACAACAAGGTGTTGTCCTCCCGCCTAATATCCAACAACAAACAATAACACCTGGCGGTTTGACACCACAAAATATTCAACAACCAAATATCCAGCACACTCCAGGCTTAAGTCCCATCCAACAACAGCAACAGTTCACTGACCAGAATCAACAGCAACAACAACAGCAGCAGTTGCAACTGAGACAACAATACAGACTACAACAATTCCAACTACAGAGGGAGCAAGCGCAAAAGAACCAGTTGGTTGCTGTACAACAACAACAACAACAGCAACAGCAGCAGCAGCAACAACAACAACAGCAGCAGCAACCGCAGCCACAGCCACAGCCGCCTCCTCCGCCACCCCCAACCCCCCAACCAGCAATACAACCGGGCGTAGTGAGACCCCTAGGTCCTGTGGTTCCTGTCACACCGGACTCCACCACAAACCCTCCCGAGGTGAACGCTTCTCAGCAGTTGGTTGTTAATGCTAAAACTAAGACGGCTCTGGCGAATATGCTGAGTAATCGGCTGCAGAGTGGAGGCGGGACCGTGGGGCCGGTACCGGAGGCGGCGATTCCGGAGCCATCGGCGGCTGGAACCCTACGCCTGATGACGGCCCAACACAATGCGGCCCTCAACCCGAATAATAGACCGCAGGATCTGATCGCGTTGCAGCAGAGGAGGGTGATCAATGGACCAAATGGTGAGATTATAAGGGCGTTGGTGCCGCAGGCTGTGCCTGTTATGCCGCAAAACGAGGCACCGAAGGTGCCGTTTTCGCCGAGGGCGGCGGTGCCGATGCAGCATAGACCGGGGCCGTTTTACGGTCATAATCCTAATTTGAAATGTAAGTAAATTTATGCACCGATCAATGTTTTGAATAAGTCAAACGAAATCTAAATAATCGCGCGGTTTAATGTTTTATGTATGGTAGATTTGAATTAAACATGCGTTTTATTCGCGATTCGACAATTGAGTGCTTGAGGCGTTTAATCTGTCTACGTACGTGGAGCATACATTTTTTTTAAATAACTATTTGTAAAGTCGGTTTAGGCGATGAAATTGTTTCTGACGAAAACATCAGCGTAATACCAGAAAAATCCAGATCGCTTGCTATTTTAATCGCAGTTCCATTGGTAAGGTTCTCAATGAAACTATTTGACTATCTTCCTCGTTAAGGTATTTTTTAAGATAAAAAAAAAGTTGTTTAACTAAAAAACATTAAATACAGGTTTTTGATCTCTGGTTGAGATAGTGAGGAATTTACAACGACGAGAACAGTTATTCTTCAAATTTCGAGATTTGTACAAAATTTACAGATTCCGTAAATATTTTGCTTTAATTTTATGCGGTAGGTTTTTTATTTCTTTTTTATAGAGTATTAAAAATTGACGCGTAAGCTAAGGAAGTATTGTAACATGTTTTTTCGACATTTCATGACTTCTAGAGTACGAAAAACTTGATCTTACGTTTTCGTGTGTCTGTCATCTGTTTGTGTCGATTTTTATTAGACAGATAATCTCCGAAACTACTTGATCTTCCCATGTAGAAATATAAACACGTGAAGATAAACGTGCCATTACTGCTGAAAGGACATTTTTCTCGTTGGTTATTTGCCTTAAATATATTTTACATTGTCCGTACCCATTGGCTGCGTGTGTATTATTTATGCCGCCGGTTTTTACTGTATATAGGTTATCGCAAAATCTAATTTTATAATTTTTAAAAAAGCGGGATTTGTTTGACTTTTACTTCAGACGCGAGGGAAGTTCTGTCGAAATAAACTTCGACCAATTTTTTAAATTGATAATCCCAGTGTTTTACTATTAGTATTATAATGCACGTGTTTGAATTGGCATACGTGTCCTTGCTGAAATAATGTTGGTCGGAACACTTTGAAAATTAATATTTTTGAAGCCAATAAGGACAAGTGCACTCCAGACTAAATAAACTAATTGTCTTTCCACATATGCGTTCGAATCATAGACAGCGGCCCAGTATGGGTGACGATACGTTAAAGATTTGCCAACACCTCAGTTTATTTCTAAAATGACTATAGCAATATTTCAAAAACTAAAAGCGGTCAATCGGAACCTACTTGGTCATTTGATGTGCGTGTCACGGCCATGAAATTTTGTATCAAGTTGGGTGTTTTCGATCTCTTGTTTTATTGCTGTGGAAAGTTTGAGTTTTATTATAGATGCCGTCATGTGTTTGTGTGAAAGGTGGAAAGGTTAAACGTAGTGCTGAAGAAAGCAACTTTGTTTTCTTATTTTATTTAGTCACTTGTTTGAAATTTCAAGGGTTACATACGTACCTACAAGTTATTGATACAATTATAGCATGGCGGTGATTTTTGTCTATGTAGTTTTTACATACAGTAAGCTGAAGTAAGTTTCATTCGCTGTATTATTAAAAAGGCAAATTTTACGACGACCGAAAAAAAGGTACAAAAATCACTTTGTTAGAGACCGATCCTTCGTGTATGCAATAAAGTGCTCATAAAATATCAAAGTGCCTGAAACCTGAAAAGGGATGTTCATAAAAGTGCAAAAAAATAAATTGGGTCCATACAGTAATATATAAAAATATAATGTTTATCCCCATGAACAAATTAATCACGGGATCTGAAGAATTATGAATTATTTTTTTTTAACTTCTAGAATATGAAAAAGTTTTATTGTGAAATTTTCGATGTTGATCCCGTTTTGGCCCGTCTGCCATTTTTATTGTTGATTACATACTTTGAAATTTTATGTATATTGGTTACTTTAAGTAGTCATAAAGATTAAAACAATCAGTTATTTAGAAGATGAAAAACAACAGGCTAGCACTGCCTGCTTTAAACTTGCCGTGTGGTAATTTTCCCGGAAACTATGCAACAAACATTTTTGATATTTCTTCGCATTCCATATTTTGGCATTCAAAAAATTCCCTATCTTTATTGTTGTAGCAAAACAGGTTTACGTGTGACAATAAAAATATTTCACTGTGCGAGTTTTGTTTGTTTTGAGTTTCTAGTTATTGTGAATGCTGAATATATTGTTTAAAAGTAGAAGTTGATCGTAAAAATAACTACGAGACTCCCAGTACACATAAAAGCCTTTATCACAATAAAACGATACACCGCTAAATTAACATTCATGCTTGAACTGAATTATCAAATCATAAAAATTTATGTTTTAACTAAAAACCTTGAACAGTAGGTTGTGCATTTGATAAAAATGTAAATCTGTTTTTACCGTCGATTTTACAACCATCGAAAAACAATCAAAGCATGTACTTTGTCACTTACTCCGACTAATAAAACGAGAAAACAAAGTAAGTATTATGTTAAGCACCAAGGTTTCTTTTCCAGTGCCTCCTGACCTGTTCCTCCTCGGCTGCATCTTCGTCGTCGTCGAAATCGAGCGATATCTGGATGAATCTCTGCCAGGGTGGCAACAGAAAATCGAAAAACACGGAGGTAAGGACTATTTTTTTCTCTAGCGTCGCTCGGCGAAAACGTTGCCTGAATACCGATAGTTAGGTACATTGATTGTTGATTTTTTCCTGATAACGTGACATCGACAGGTGAAGTCGAAAAACAGTATTGCAATCGAGTGACCCACGTTTTGTGCGAAACCCAACGCCATGGCGTCGTTATGCAAGCCCTAAGGGATTGCAAACGTTGCATTACCATATACTGGTTGTCAGACGTGATGAAACGCAAACAGGTCCTACCTCCATGGACCGCGTTGCATCTACCTACCATATATCTGGACACGACGCCGGCATCAAAGCATCTGATCACACTGAGCGGGTTCACAGGGTGCGACCGAAGCCGAGTCAAGCACATGATTAACTACACAGGGGCCAAAGTAATTAAAATTTTCTATATAGTGTTTTAAAGAAAATTTAGTACGGAATATCGTCAAACTAAAAATAATAGGAGTAATACTTAACTAAATTTATTTATAAGTTTTTAAAAATAACACAATTTTACAGTCGGTTTGTTTAATCTCTGAAGCAGTCTAACATCGACTCCATATCTTTGTTTTCAACAATTTTTGAAAGAGTGTTCAAACACTCTACTATTACGTCGAATTTTTCTTTTGGCACACCTGATCTCTTTACATCTTTTAATAGAACGTCAATCGATATCGTCCCATCTTCTTCCAAGTAACCAAGCGTTGTAAAATGACACTTCTCATAGCACAGTATTTCATCTGAAGCAATATCGTCGTAGGGATGATAATTGTGTATAGTTTCCATTGTTGTTCCACATTTCTCCAGACATTTAGGTTGAATATCGTTTCCTGAGCAGACCTTGAAACATTAATAAACAAATTAAAAATAATAATTTTGTGTCGGCTAAATACCTTAATTGTTAGAAGAGAAAATACAGCCGCGTAATACCATGAAAAAAACAGCATTTTTGAGATAGCTACTATATCTCATAGAGTCTAATCAGACTGTCACTTTGAACGAATTCAGCAAGCTTTTTATTGTGGTTCTAACAATAATAATCGTACTTCCGTTCGTACGTTATCATATTCCCAGAAATTATTTTTGAGAGAATCATTTCCCCGTAAACTTAACAATAGCAGATGTAATAACAATTTAAATAATTTTTATTGAAGTCGCAGAAAAAGTATTGTATGTAACACGTTTATAAATTTCACTGGACGCTCGTTTCTTTAAACACTCGCTCCGCTTGTGATTAAATAGGCCGACTCGTGTCTAAAGAGGCGCTTATAAAACTTGTTACATAATATAGTGTTTTACTTCTTATTACATTGAACAATTTTTAGATTTTTCGGTTCCTCGATTTTTCTTTTTATCGTTTCTTCAATTTTTGGTTTTCAATTTTTCTGGTCTTCATTTCAAATATGTAATTATAACTATATTTATTAAAATTTTATCACTTTCACGATTTTACAATTTTTGGGTTTTTCCAATTTTTCGATTTGATTCGTTTTTTCTTTTTTCTAGTTTTTCGATTCATTAATTTTTCCGATTTTTAAGTTTTCCGGTTTTTAGTTTTTCAGTGTTTCGATTTTTCGTTTCTTCAGTTCTTCGATTTATAATTTTTCAATTTCCCAATTTTGATTTTGCAATTTTTTGTTTTTTCAATTTATGGATTTTGAGATTTTTCGATTTGCGTTTCTCGAGTTTTTAATTTTTCAATTTTCCGATTTGCAGTTTTTCGTTTCGGTTTTTTATTTTCTTTATTTTTACAATTTTCCGATTTTTCAATTTTTGGTTTCTTCAATTTTTCGTTTCGGTTATTCTTTTCTTTATTTTCTCAAGTTTTCGATTTTCAATTTTATATTTTTAGGTTTCTCCATTTTATAATTTTTCACTTTTTAATTTTTCGATTTTTCAACGTATCGACGTTTTAATTTTTCGTTTTGAAATTTTAGATTTTTCACTTTCTCGATTTTTCAGTTTTTGTTTTCAATTTTTCCAATTTTTCGATTTGATTCGTTTTTTCCTTTTTCCAATTTTTCGATTTTTAAGTTTTTCGGTTTTTAGTTTTTCAATATTTCGATTTTCCGTTTTTTGAGTTTTTAGTTTTTCAATTTTCCGATTTGCAGTTTTCGGATGCTCCGATTTCATGGTTTTTTGTTTTTTCAATTTTTCTGTTTGCAATTTTTGTTTTTCTTTATTTTTTCAACTTTTCGGTTTAAACTTTTTAGTTTCTCCATTTTTTTCAACGTGAAATTTTTGATTTTTTAGTTTTTTGTTTTGGAATTTTTCAGTGCTCAATTTTTCGTTTTTTCAACTTATACATTTTTTAATTTTTCGTTTTTTTCAATTTTAGATTTTTCAGTTTCTCGATTTTTTTTCGTTTCTTCAATTTCTGGCTTGTAATTTTTCTGGGGTTTATTTTAAATATGTAATTATTATTATTATTATTATTATTAAAATTTCTTCATTTTTTTCACGATTTTAGATTTTTTTTCAATGTTACAGTTTTTGGACGATTCTATAATTTTTCGGTTTTACAATTTTTGGGTTTTTTCAATGTTTCAATTCGATTCATTTTTTCTCCATTCCCATTTTTCGATTCTTGAATTTTTTCGATTTTTAAGTTTCTCAGTTTTTAATTTTTCAGTTTTTCGTTTCAGTTTTTTATTTTCTTTATTTTTACAATTTGTCGGTTTTTCAATGTTCCGATTTCATAGTTTTTTGTTTTTTCTATTTTTCATTTCTTCAATTTTGCTGTTTGCAATTTTTCGTTTCGGGTTTTCCTTTTCTTTATTATTTCAATTTTTCGGTTTAGACTTTTTAGTTTCTCTATTTTATAATTTTTCTTTCTTTTCAATGTGAAATTTTTCAATTTTTAGATATTCAGTTTTCGGATTTTTCGTTTTTTTAACTTACAGATTTTTCTTTTTATCGTTTATTCAATTTTTGGTTTTCAATTTTTCTGGTGTAAATTTTAAATATGTAATTACAATTATAATTATTAAAATCTTATCACGTTTTCACGATTTTTGAATTTTTTTTCAATGTTACAGTTTTTGGACTTCAATTTTAACGATTCTATAATTTTTCGATTTTTCAATTTTAGACTTTAGTTTCGTCATTTTATAATTTTTCTTTTTTTTTCAATGTGAAATTTTTCCATTTTTAGGTATTTAGTTTTTGGATTTTTAGTTTTTCGTTCTGAAAATTTTCAGTTTTGAATTTTTCGTTTTTTCAACTTATAGATTTTTTAATTTTTCGTTTTTTCAGTTTTAGATTTTTAAGTTTCCCTTTTTTTTCGGTTTTTCAATTTGTGGTTTTCAATTTTTCTGGTGTAAATTTCAAATATGTAATTACAATTATAAATATTAAAATCTTATCACTTTTTCACGATTTTTGAATTTTTTACTTTTTTCAATGTTACACTTTTTGGACTTCTGGATTCTATAATTTTTTGAATTTACAATTTTTGGGTTTTTCCAATGTTTCGATTCGATTCGTTTTTTCTTCTTTGCAATTGTTCAGTTCAATAATTTTTTCGATTTTTATGTTTCCCGGTTTTTAGTTTTTTAATGTTTCCATTTTTCGTTTCTTCAGTTTTTTGGTTTGCATTTTCGATTTCCCACATGTTCGATTTTGCAAATTTTCAATTTTTTAGTTTTTTGATTTTCAATTTTTCAACATGAAAACTTTGAAAAAGCTAAAAATTGGAACCTGCCAAATTGAAGAAACGAAAAATTCAAAAATCAAAATATTAAAAATTGAAAAAGTGCAAAATCGAAGAAATAAAATATTGTAAAATCGAAATATTGAAATTTAATGAAATCGGAAAATCGGATAATTGAGAAATCCAAAAATTGCAAAATTGAATAATTTAATATGTTAAAAATTTTGGAAAATCGAGTGGTTGAAAAATCAAAGATTGAAAATTTGGTGAATTGAATAAACGAAAAATTATAAAATCTAAAGAAACATTTCTGTTTATTGTAGTTTATTGTAGTTTTTGTCTTTATTTTACTCTGTAACAGCTTTATTGGCGTTAATAAATGCAATTATTATTAAAGGAAAAATTATGATATAAAATCGAGAAATGAAATTAAAACATCGGAAAAAATAAAAATAAAAGTAAAGAATCAGAAAAATTGAAAACGTGCAAAATCGAAAAATTAAATATTGTGATATCGAAATATTAAAAATTTAAGAAATCGGAAAATCGGATAATTGAGAAGTTCAAAAATTGCAGAATTGACTAATTTAGAATGTTAAAAATTTGAAAAATCGGGTAGTTGAAAAATCAAAGATTGAAAATTTGGAGAACTGAATAAACGAAAAATTATAAAATCTAAAGAAACATTGAAAAAAAAAATTAAGGAAATGAAAAAACGAAAAAGTGTGATATAAAATCGAGAAATGAAAAACATCGGAAAAATGAAAAATAAAAATCAGGAACCTGAAAAATTGAAGAAACAAAAATTCAAAATTCGAAATATTAAAAATTGAGAAACTTAAAAATTGAAAATGTGCAAAATCGAAAAAATAAAATATTGTGATACGAAATATTAAAAATTTAAGAAATCGAAAAATCGGACAGTTGAGAAGTCCAAAAATTGCAGAATTGAATAATTTAAAATGTTAAAAATTTGGAAAATCGGGTAGTTGAAAAATCAGAGATTGAAAATTTGGAGAATTGAATAAACGAAAAATTATAAAATCTAAAGAAACATTGAAAAAAAATTAAGGGAATGAAAAAACGTAAAAGTGTGATATAAAATCGAGAAATGAAATTAAAACATCGGAAAAATGAAAAATAAAAATCAGGAACCTGAAAAATTGAAGAAACAAAAATTGAAAATGTGCAAAATCGAAAAAATAAAATATTGTGATATCGAAATATTAAAAATTTAAAAAATCGGAAAATCGGACAGTTGAGAAGTCCAAAAATTGCAGAATTGAATAATTTAAAATGTTAAAAATTTGGAAAATCGGGTAGTTGAAAAATCAAAGATTGAAAATTTGGAGAATTGAATAAACGAAAAATTATAAAATCTAAAGAAACATTGAAAAAAAATTAAGGGAATGAAAAAACGTAAAAGTGTGATATAAAATCGAGAAATGAAATTAAAACATCGGAAAAATGAAAAATAAAAATCAGGAACCTGAAAAATTGAAGAATCAAAAATTCAAAATTCGAAATATTAAAAACTGAGAAACTTAAAAATTGAAAATGTGCAAAATCGAAAAAATAAAATATTGTGATATCGAAATATTAAAAATTTAAGAAATCGGAAAATCGAACAATTGAGAAGTCCAAAAATTGCAAAATTGAATAATTTAAAATATCTAAAATTTGGAAAATCGAGTAGTTGAAAAATCAAAGATTGAAAATTTGGAGAATTGAATAAACGAA